CCCCAAAACCCCAAAACCCCAAAACCCCAAAACCCCAAAACCCCAAAACCCCATTTTTGAGTGCGGAAATTGAAAAATGTCACAAATGAAGTTTTTAAGCCTTTTTGGTAGGGTTTTGGTTATTCTAGGAGTCCAAGGACTATGATGAGAGATGCTCCGATTAAGAATGAAAACATCTTGATCCATCTATATTTCGGTACTGAAAATTCTTCAACGATTACTTCTGAGCAAGCTATATAAACAAAAGTTCCCGCTGCCAGAGATGAAAATATGATATCTACTATTGCCGATTGAGTAGCTACAATCATTCCTATAAGAACTCCTAATGGAGTCGCTAGTGAGAAGATTGTAAGCACAATGTACACTGTCCCTGTCTGATTCTTAAAATTTTTAGTCATACTGATACCTAATGACATTGCAGCAGCCCACTTGTGAGCTCCGATAGCGATTACAAAAGTCCAGAGATCGCTCGTTTCTTTAATTAATCCGGTTGCAATCCCCTCAAATACTGAATGGACACTCAGAGCTATTCATAAGACCACTGGAGTGAGGTTTCAAGATCACCTTTTCTTTTTCCTTTCTTCAGAATTTATTAAATGATCATGATGAGTAGCAATAGACGTATCTTCTCCATGCTTAGAATCTCTGTCAGTTTTATTAAAAGAATTACTTTCCTGAGATGCCTCACTTCTGTTCAAAGTATGGTCCATTCAGGCAACAAATTTAGTTTGAATTCTCTGAGGGCCTTCATTTTCATCATAATCTTGGCCATACTCATTTATTTCTTTGCTGATCTCTTCATAATCGTTATGTTCCTTCCTTACATTAGGGATAATCTTTGGACTAGAGCCATGACCATGCCCATCGACCAACGAATGAGTATCAAAAATAACTTTATCAATTAGTAAGATAAAAGCGTAGCCTACAAAGGCAAGCGCGAAGGGAAGTGGAAAGGGCTCCTCCTCATTTCCATGTCTGAGTCATGGGGCATATCTTTCAGAGTGTTCATGTTGTTCCATGAATTCTCTGTATCCTGATGTTGCCTCTGGGAGGATATGGAGAAAGGCGATTGCCAAGAAGACACCTCCACTGAAAGCATTAGCTATACCTAGTACATTTGTGCTTCTTTTGCACCAAGGGATGATGCCAGGAAGAATCCCTGCAACAAAAGCCATTGCTGCTATGAGTATGATGAAGACAACCTTTATTATGATAACTCCTGATACCATGTTCCGTAAATTTAGTTGTATTTTTCCTATTTTGAGCATTAAAAACGGGGTTTTGGGGTTTTGGGGTTTTGGGGTTTTGGGGTTTTGGGG